TTACTCCACATTTCTTTAAATGCTTACAAATGTGAGCAATTGCTCACTTATTAGCAACGTTATCAGAAGTTAAGGTGGAATGAAAAACGTATTTAAAGTGTGCAAGTATTAGGAATATCTCAGATATTCTTTGTCTTCTATTTATTTGACGACCGCATTCGGCACGGTAGCGTAGGTGTCTAAGGCGCTCGCATTCATTTGCAAGTTATTTTGTGATAGAGAGGCACCCGACTTCGAATTCTACAGAAGACTACGTGAATTTATTTGCATGGATACAGATGTATGCCGTATTAGCAGAAACTTAATTTCTGTTGATATGACATCCAGATTATAAAAATCGTCATGCGTTATCGTTTCGATAATGATGAGTGGGGTTTTCCGGTTTTTAGTCATCTGTAAATCAAATGGCCCCATCAATCATCTATAAGTCGCCCGGAGCGCCACGGCTAATAATAATAGCCGTCCCTTCCCCTACACTATTCGCTCAGACGACTTTAGGGGTTGAAATTCACAAGGGGGTAAATTAGGGATAGTATTATTATTATCATCGGGACTCTAAAAAATGGTTAGAAGTAACAGAAAACTATACAAAAAACAAACAACAAACAAAAAATGAAAAAGAGTAAATTGTTTTTTGTACAGTTTGCTGTAACTGCTAACCATGGTTTTAGAGTCACAATGATGGCATAATTGCCGAAAGCGCTTGGCATATTTTATTATATAAGACAAAGGGGGGGAGGGGGGTGTATTTTTAATACTTGCACACTTTAAATTCCTTTTTTATTCCACCTCAATCTCTAAATAAAGTAAATGTTGAAATATTTTAAAGTTTAGTCAAAATTCATAGGTTCCCAAATTGATTTTAATTATGGAGGTGTTTAATAAAATAATAAAACATGATCTTAAAAAGCAATGAAGCTATTTTTGTGGTTTCTCGTATTGCAAAATTGTAGAAAACTAGCTTTCGAATAAGAACAATAAAAATCTCACTTTAATAATACCTCAAAAATATTTAGTAGTTTTTTTTGCTATCAACTATTTATTGCTCACATCGGAAATTCTATAACAAATTATATATGTACACGTGGTTCCATAATGTACATCACTTAAAAATAAGGCTTAAAATAAAATATATTGCACTTTTTCCAAATTTACAAAAAACAAAAGGGTATGTATCACTTGAGACGAAAATACTGATCCAATTTCTTTAATACTGTGCTAGAACGACTTCTTTATATTCTTAAATGCAATGACTAGAAGTTATTAGTCCGAGCGCTTGGATTCGCGAGTCGAGAAATAGTCAGAGGGCAGACATTTTTTAAATTTTTGGTGATATTGTCGAATTCTTAGTTAATTCCTACTTTTAAATTAAACTTGTAAAAAAAGGTATGTAGGGTGATTCAGTTTATCTAATATTGCAGGAAAATTTAAAAAAGATGTGCGGAAAAGTATCATCTTTCGTTCTTAATATTATTGTATCTATTACCAGAGGCGTGCGATTAGGACAGGTGAAAAGTTGAATCTCTCAACATTTGACGTTATTTTGAACAATAATAACAGAAGGTGTATTTAAAAAAGTTAAATTATTCAATACACCTTTTTTATTTTTTATTAAAATACTGTTGCAAAGAATCTATTTTACGTAAATTTTATAATGTTTAAAATAATGGAATGTAGATGAGATACTTGCATTTTTTTGGCAGTTTTGCAGCTCTACAGCATTTATGCACCTGCCGCCACTAATTTTAGTATTATATTTTAATTTTTTAAAAATTTTTGTGTAAATAACGTAATTCTTAATTTTAATTTTATTTATTGCTGATATGATTTAACAAAATATATTTTTTTGGTAAATAAAGATAATAATAATAATAAATCTAATAAATAATTTTGTAATAATTAAAACTTTTTTCAATATACTTTTGAGTTAAAACCCCATAAATCAATGAGAAACAACATTTTACGTTAAATCTTCTTATTCTTCAGTTATTCTTTAGCCCATTATTAATAAAATACATGTATACGTTTTTAATTTTTAATATTACGAAATCCGAGCATATTATATTTTTTTTATAAATCTCGTTGATCGCAATTCCAGTAAAATATTTTTTTTTTATTATTTATATGCCAGATATTCAATAATATATATTTTTTATAATTGTCAGTCGAAAGTAATATTTAATTTAAAAAAAAATACTACTTTTTTAGTCATATACTTCTCTTGCTATTTATTTTATCAATACCAACATTTCTCATATCTAACATTGTTTCCTAAAATATTTTAAGTTTATTATATCCATAAAGTGCGAAACTTAGATAAAAATTATTTATTATAATTTAAAATACTTTGTTTATCTGCCTCCGTACTAAATTTTCGACTCGTTTGTCCTTGCTCAAGGACTATGCGCAATGACTAGAATTATTTACAAATCTTTGGTTTTCTAAAATATTACAATCTAACGAATCATATTCAGTTTAATTCTTGTATAAAAAGTTGTACTATACTTAAAATCTGTATTTTACATTAGCGTATTTCGATATTGAAAAATAATCAGTTCACTCATTATTGTTTTCAATAAAATTAAATATCTTAATGTAGTTACCGTTATCCCAATTTTTACCATAATCGACAATCATACGTCATATACTTGGCTAATAACTGATATTCATACTTAGTACATTTGGATGATGTTATGCAACAAAAAATCAATCAACATTTTTTCTACGGCCAAGTTTGAGATGAGATCCCATTCCGGTTTTCTAACATAAATATTTCAAATATTTTCTTCAATCAACTTCGTTATTCACCTTTCAAATTAATTTTCGCGTACAGTAGGATATTTGTTTATTTACATTGTGTTTGTTTTGGGCGGGATTTTGTATTTGTGATAGTTTAACTGTTTTTAGATCTCTAGAAATTATTGTTGGTTATACTGTGCGACCAATGACCTCCTTCAACTACTAGAATACGACCATTCGCATTCAGGCTGACGCTCTGTTAACACTGCTCGACCAATAAGAAAACCTAAAAATATGCCCATGAAAAGCAACCACCGCTTAAACGAGCACTCCTTAGTTCATGAATCACTGGCGTATGAATCGAAGTCAGACATATGACGTCCCTTGTCCTCCGTCAAGCAGAGAGAGAGAGAGGCATTACCTAAGAATCACTTATCGAACAAAGATAGACATCTCGAAATGCGACAGGCATACTTCATGAAATTAAATGACATCCGACATCAGTTTTAACCTACAAAATAACAAAAACATTGTAAACAACACTTCTACAAGTAAACAGTATTATTGAGAATCATAGTGAATTTCAGTGTAACCTTGTAAAAATTATGTGAGCCCTAAGGAAGAACATTTACCCCAGTTACGCTAAATTCCTTTTGAATAAAATCAACAAAATACAGAGGTTATTGTAAACAATATCTTAAGAGTGAAAACTACTGCTGAAAACCATAGTGAAATTCAGTGTAACTTTGTAAAAATTATGTGAGCCCTAAGAAGGAACATTTACACCAGTTACGCTAAATCCCATTTGAATAAAGCTGTGTTTTCTCGAAAATCTAATGAAGTTCTACGACAGGAGCATATTCAAGGTAATTTCTAGATTATAAGTTAATTCTCTGCTAGTTTTGAGACAGAAATAGGCGATAAGGCATAACGTTCGATTAAAACCGTTACAAATATTATCATTATAATAGTGTTTTTGAGTTTCATTTAGTGTTAATTTAACTTTAGTTTCTGTGCTTTCATTATAAATATATTTATCATGTGTTTATGACTAATTTGTTGGCAATCTTCACCTATCTGGATGTTACACAAACATCTAAAAATATTTGTTTACTTAACGCAGGATTTATTTTATTATGTGGTACCTAACGTTTATTATTGTTAAACTTAATTAAAAATCTAACTTTCCTTCTTCTTACATTCTTTCACTTCAGAATATTATTTGTGATATTTCATGGCACACATGATTTGATTAAAATAATCAGAGAAAGACTACTTTGTGTTATGTTATCAGATAGGGATCTGATACGGAAATAACGAATTCGTGTCATCAGATTTATCAAATAAGGAAATATACATACCTAAGTTCTTAACCACAATGTATAGTCGGCGGTACAGATAAATTTTACTATTACACAATTATATTTAATTGTGGAATAGTAAAATTTATTTGTGCCACAAAATATACTTTTGTATTATACCCGTAGGAAAATAGTTTTTTGACTAGGGTTTTTGGTTTATTATCCAGTTCTTTTAAAGTTTTGAAGACATTGTCAGCAAACAGTTCCACTTAAGTCTTGCAACTGAGAGTTGACGTACTCTGACGTATTGAAGCTTGTCAGAGGAAAACATGTTTGTTTAACAACTAAGCTATGGTTTTTGCTTGAAGAGTAAGAATATATTTTGCAAGGTTTGTTTGGAATTTCAAATTTAATTTGATACTTTATTCCAGAAATTAAGAAAAGTTAAAAATGTAGGTTACTGCCAGTAGTTCCTGATACTGATTTCGTTCAACCGCAATTACTTGATTTGAACTGATTATTTTTCAATCGAAATTATATCAAGGTACCGTGTTAACTAGTATTTACAGTGCTTTGAGCATAATCGGAATTGGCGGAAAGGGTCAAGAATCATTCTTATATAGAGTTCCTCCTCGATCGCAGTCACATCAATTAACGCACTCCCATCACTTATGCAGCTAGCGACATCATCACAATCCGAAATCATCGAATCGCGAGTGAATGTGGCGCAACTGGAGCGAAATCACAGAATTTGCCCAACTAATGTCATCGCCACTAGTAAAACTTACGCAAACTGGAAACTTCAGCGCTATCGTTGAAATGGCGCAACCCATTAAAACCGGAATAGCGCAACTGTGGAATTTGCCCGAAGCAACGATTGTGAGTTTGCGCAACTTTATGCCGAACTTATCATACGAAATAATTTCACTAATTTACAGGAAAACCGAAGTTAACTTCTGGTCAGTGTTGCGCGGCGAACTTCATGCGCTTCTGCTTTTGCCTTTGGTTGCAGAACCAGACGCGTACCACGTTCTTTTTGAGGTCCAGTTTTTCGGCGATGGCGGCAATTTTTTCGCCCGACGGTCGCGGTTGAACGGCGAAATACGCTTCGAGGCTGCGCTTTTCCGGCGCCGCTATTGAAGTCCTTTTGCGCTTTTTCTCGCCCGCCGGGAGTACGCTAGGCGCGTCCGGGTCTCTTCGTTTGTTCTTGGCCTGCGCTTCGGCTTCTTCCAGCCAGGCTTGGAGGATGGGCTTGAGGGCGATCATGTTGTTGTGGGAAAGCGTGAGGGATTCGAACCTGCAGATCGTCGACTGCGAGAGCGCACCAACACCTGGTAGTTTTAGGTTGGCCAACGCTTTGCCTGAAACAGAAGAGATATTGGTGAAATAGATTCGGGTCGTGGATAAAATGAAGTATGTGTGATTTTAAAAAATAATAAACTAATTTATTTTTAATTTGAAGAGTTATTGAACCAGTTGGCTTTTCGTAAATAGGTAGAAACAGTTTTTTTTATATATATATCTGTCTTTAAAAATAATACTTTTCATCAATCTTCAATTTTAAAAGTTATCGTTTACAAAGAAGCATGTATTTTTAATTTGGTGTCATCGGTGTAGACTTTGTTAATGTTTCCCAGCACCACTTTAGGAACAGCACTGTTAACTAGAGCCAATCAGTGAATGGTCGAGTGGGAAATCCTACATATGCATTAGAATTAATATTTAATTTATTAAATTAAATAAAAAACCCTGTCACCGGTGGTATTCGAGCCTGACAGTAAGCTTACTGATTATTTGATCATTGTGGTAAAAGCAGTAACATTTAGGATAATTTTAATTATGTGTAAATTTTAATTAAAATACTACTTAAGAATATTTATATGAATGGACAATCAGAACAATTATTGTTGCATGTTAAAAAATATCAAATTATTACAACTTTATGTCATCATTTTGACCTTCCCACAAACCCATAAAAATAAGGAGATTATTGTTTCCACTTCAAAATTCGAATTTGAAATAATACATTTTGGGGTCCTAGGAACCCAAAAAAAATGTTATTAGAAAATAACATGATGTACGTATGTGTATGACGTTTTTAGTTAACGCTATACAGCTCAAACCATCTGGTCAATTTTGACAGGAATTGGAACAAACGTCTAAGAAAAGCTTATTAAAGGGATTTTCTTGCGTTGAAATATATTTAAAAATGAATTTGAAACATATATGTCAAAACGTCATCAATTTGAGATTACGCCAGAACGTACCGTTTAGTAAAAAGTCATGTCAAATCTATAATCACTTCTCAGTTTATTATTCTTCTATGATTTGTTACTCCTCCTGTTATTTGTTTCCCTACTTCCCTTAAGTAATAGCAGCATACTTTGGATCTGTAACGGTAATTTATAATCACTCTTACAATATTTAATAACTATTTATTGTCAGAAGCTATATTAGTTATAATACTTACCTTTCAAACTTTCTAATGTTTCACTATCTACATCGATCTTATAACGGCCCAAATTTACTTGAAACATTCTCAATTTTAATTTTGGAAAAACAAAACAGAATGACAGATGTGACAGATTTATACATGGCGCTAACAATTATCCCCACTTTTACCATGAATAACATTTTAAAACTAACTTTCCCTTGGTTTTAAAACTGACAGCTAAAATTTCAAATCATTTGAAAAATGACGTCATCGTTTCAACGCAAGAATGGATGAATTCAAAACTGCTACGAATATGATTTGAATACACATACGCAAGAAAATCCCTCAGATGTTTGGCATATTTAGAGAAACTGTGTTGGGGGTATACTTTATAGGGGGTTGTTTTTTTACTTTTTAGCATATTTATATTATTTATGAGTGGAGAAGAATACTCTTCGGATAAAAGTTTGTTGCGATGTCATTATCTATAATTTGGGTTATATACATGACGGACCGTATTGGAAAAATTTGATAAAAAGTAGAGATTTCATGTTTTGTTTTGTTTTGACCGATATGTAACTTTAGTGGTGTAACATATCAGATATAAATGCAAAGACGCAAAGACAAAAAAAATGGATTTTAAACTACTGCTTTAACATTTAAATTGCCACCGATTTTGATGGGATTTCGGTGGGGAGTTGCTGCCACTTCGCGATGCTACGTTTTTATTGCATGCATGTATAGAAATATATAATAAATCTTAGTAAAATAGCAATTTGTAAATTTTTTACAACTATTAAAAATATTTTTTATTTAAAATTTTAACCTGCCAATAATCCGATGGGCTGAGTTGATAGATCCAAAATCGGGGGTTTTTAAACTTGGGGCCGACTTAGGGCATTTCTAAGTTGCTCACTTGATTTATGGGCCAAGTTGGACAACGCCAGATTGATCAATATACTACTTTCAATGGCTTTACATACATGCCATATTTGATTGATATTCTTTGAGAGTAATTGTTTAAATTTAGTAGAAAATGTCAGATAGGTCTATATCAAAATTTCAAAATTTTAAAATATATAAAGAATCTTTAAAAATATCAATTATGGTAATGCAGGTTGTGGAAAAATCTTGAAATTTTTAATTGTTTCTTTCCTAATTCACATTATAACTCACCGGAACAAAAACTAAAGAGTGATCCATAAAAAATATTTTAAAGTAGGCCATGACCGACAAATATACAAGTCATATCGATGATAGTGAATACACGCTTAAATCAAATAAAAATTTTAAGTAACAAAAAAGAAATATCATTTGTGATTATTGTGAAATTTATTGTGACAAATATTTAACACTTATTTAAATTATTTACCTATGTCAAACTGGTATCAAGCATAATGAACTTTCAATTTAAAGACGAACGATAACAATATCTCGTAGAGATAGTTTTGGAAAGAGATAGTTTTAATTAGGACTAGGACTGTGGTCCATGTAGCGCCTCCCACCTCGACCTTTTCAGATCTATTATGAATATTCTTTAATCGTTGTTTAGAGTACCTTGTCTTGTTTGATCTTTTGTGGTAGACTCCATAGACTATGAAGTAGCTCTCCGGCGTAGCCAGTTTCCCTTAGTTTTTCTTCTGTAATTGTAAAGAATCTGTCTTGATAAACTTTCGCAGTAGCACAACACGTGTACTGCATCTTCCTCCTCTTCCTGACGGTATCCGTACAACGTTTCTTATGCCTGCCAATGTTATACATATATTTATTATGCCCGAATAGCCTGTTAATAGGCCTACTCTAGTACTCTAGTATTTTTCCTTAGTAGATGCTTGCTGAGTTTTAGCTATGGTACTTCTAAGAACTGTCTGGTGAATTGTTACACAATTCTTAAGATTTGTTTAGTATCCACTGCTTTTTGCATGTTCTGATGGATATCTATGTGACACCACAAAAGGATTCTGGGCCACTAAGAGCCTTTGAGGTCCCTTTTCGGGCTAGTGTCAGCCTTTTCATTGTCCGTATGTCCTCTATAACCTGTTATCCAGACTAAGGTTAGTTTATTTTGACTACCCAGCTCTATTAGGACTTCTGAACAGTCCCAGTGTATCTGCATGGAACTAGTGTTTCTAAGATCGTTTGATTGTATATATGGCAATGATTTTTCCATTTATCTAATGTTTTAATACCTCTAAGCTCAATGAGATTCTTGTCTTTGTCTTGGCACTATAATATATCCCTACTTCTGATCCTTCATGGATTTTGGAGCCGTCTGAATACCAGATAATTATTTCTGCCTGAATAGGAGGACCTATAGTCCACACTTCCTCGTCGAGTACACTTACTTTATACTGTTTTTGAAACCTATATTTTGGGAACATTTCATCTGAAAGCATTCCCACTAATTGGTCGTCTCCATTTCTTTATATAGCTAGCAGTAATCAGTAATCACGCCCATGCAGATTACTTATGGGTGATAGACCTTTGTGCAGTCTGTATGAGACAAACCTGGTATCACCTTTAATGAATATGTGTTAGGTTTAGCATGACTGTAGGCCTGCTGTTGGACTCATTCTCATGGCTCTCGTGACACTCAAGCATGCTTGCCTTTGAATATTTTTAAGCTAATGGCTTAATGGCTACAGATTTCCAAGTCTTTGTTCACCACACTACCGACCCATATGCCTTATAACTCTGGTATACAGCCATAGGGACATTTTTGGTTGTATTCCCCAATTTTTTCTTTAAAACCTTCAACATAAATTAATGGATGTGCTTTTTGGGTGACTTTTTGCAAGTGTTGATTCCATTTTAATCTGTAGTCAAGTATTTGGCCTCTTGCGCAAACGAAATCTCCACTTCTTTCAGTACTGGGGACTTTAATCGTTCTGTGAAATTGACTAATGTAGTTTTGTGAGGATTTACTGTTAGTTCGTCCTTTCCAAAATTTAGAGCGGTTCGTGTGCGCTCTAATACTATACCTGCAAACTTGTCACTTGCAAAAAAATAATTCAAAGAGATAATTCCGTCTTTCATTAAACAGGTATAAAATACGTACTCGCCCATACAAACTTTTATAATCATATTTTCGTGTGAAATATTTTTGCTCAATGCTCAATTGAAACTTAATTAAATAACATATTTAATTATTGTTTAATCTTAACAAAATCAGTGAGTAGAAGATTCATTTGTAAACAATATAGATGTATTTAGCATTGCGTCGCCAATGTCTTGTCTAGATAAAGCCACTGTGGGCGCTGTTAAAAGTGAGTCTGACAGTCTAACGCCTTTTTTAATATTACGGCGCAGTTATATTTTAGGAAAGTTAGTGGTGACTAAATATTCTCGTAGGTAAAGACCAAATACAAACAAATTGTAAAAAGAAGTCTGCGAACTAGTACACAACTGGTGTGAAATTAGACATACGGGATTTATTTCAGAACCTACTTTAGAAACATTTTTTGTGGATCATTCTTTATTATATTTTTAAATATATAAATAATAAAAAATCACAATATACCTACATGACTTACCTACATCTGCCTGCGTAACACCCAGCTTGATCCGCCTTTGCTTGAACCTTTCGGCGAATGCTTCCAATTCTCTTGGATCCGTATCCGCATCGGGATGTAACCCAGCAACGGCAGCAGCGGCAGCCGCCGCAGCCATGGCGGGGTGGTGTGCGCCAGGATGTCCTCCGTGGTGTCCCGGATGGTGACCGGGAGCACTGTGTCCTGACAATGGTCCTCCGTGATGGTGATGGTTCATGACGTGGTTCATGCCGTAGGAATGCATGTGCGATGGGGTTTCTGACATTGGGGTGAGAGTGGTCATTGATGATGATGAGATTGGATCTAGCATTTCTAGGCTGTCCATGTGACCCATCTGAAAGTAAAATAGGTTGTTGAGAATCTCAGCTTCTTCTTTAGGGTCATGCAAGGATGCGGTATTTCAGTCGACCATAATAGACACGTCTTGTCTACTAAAAGATTGGTCTCATGTTATTAAGGTCCACAATCGCATGCACAATTATTAAGAGTACGAGCGTTACAAGTTGCCACTTTTGCAACAGTTCATTTTGGTACAAAATACTTAATGACTTAGTTTATTTATTAAACTGAATCATTTTCATAAAATTTCTCAAATAATTTTTTTTTGACTTGAATTGGCGTTTAAATTAGGTGTTTTTAGTTTTTGTTCTTTTAACTCGACATTTGGCAATCCTGTTTTTGTATGTTTTTAAAAGCGTTGTTGTAAAATTTAGAAGAAATTATTTATAAAAGTGTTAACATTGCAAAATGATAAGTAACTGCATGCATAGTTTGCCGAAGATCTTTAAAAACAAACTTGCTCTTTCAAAAGGTAGGTTGGATTACTCTCATGAAATGTAAATGAATGTAATAATAATAATAATCATAGACATATTAAATGTACTGAGGTTGTACATATTTATTTCTTGATATAAATAATAATTGAAGACACTGGGTATATTATTGTATATACATTGACAGATTTCTGAGAAATATTTTCCAACTTCAGCTATGGCTGAGAACTTAAACCTAAATGAAGACAATCTCAAAACTGTTAAAGATGTCAAAGTTTTCCCAAATCACTTTTCATTTGAAATTTAATGCTTTGCCAGTACAATAAGTAAACGAATATTTTAAAATGTATTCTTATATGACTGTAAAATTATAATATAAACTAATACAAAATTCCGAATCAATTAAAAAACTACTAAGAATAAATAAATTCTGACTTATCTGTCAAAAGAAAAGGTTTGTTATAGTAAAAAACCATGAAAACGAAAACTTTTATTAGGCAGATCAGACTATAATTATTTTAATATGTGTTTTAGACCAGAACTTTTTATAAAGAGCAATCTATTTTTCGTTAAACTAATTATAAAACATTTTCCATATGGCACCAACTTAAGTAGGCATAGTGTATACAGATTAAGAAAAAAGTATACGAGCCATTGTATATAGACACTGAGAATGAACAACCATCTCTATACTTTATGTACACCATCTACCACCATTCCTGCGAGTAGTGCGAGCTCAAAGAAAGTTCCAATTTAGTAATGCATGAACTTTTGTATGGTATTGTACTCTTTAATTAAATAAAGACAATATTTACATAATTATTCTGATTCTAAAATAATGAAAAATTTTGCAAGTGAAAAATAACTTGATTTTTTATTAAACCTTAATATTTTTGACCGTGAAAAAGACCAATAATGTGGGTCCTTAAAATAGCAGTGCAAGTATTTAATTTCAAAGGTGTATCTCACTACGGATGGATTATGTTTGTTATGTAATGAAAAAGTTGACTTGCCGGTAAATAAAATGTATTTTAAAAATGTTTTTATTTTGATTCTGCCGATTTGTCATAATTTTAAAAAACTCTATCCATCTGAAATTATTTTATAAAAATAAAAAATACAAAGCAACAAAATTATGATAATATACTTATTGTGACGAGTATATTGAATGTTCACTGATTCGATTACGTTGCTCTCTGATCTGTTGCGAATATTGGCCTGCAATAGAGATGGGCGTACCTACACCGGATATACTTTCTTTCTAATCTGTATATAGATTTCCTGTCACTTATTCGTACACTTTTTAACAATAGAATTTTATCATTAAAAAAATATATTTTTAAATAATTTCAATTATTTATATTAAACCCTTAATGCGGTTCCTACTCCTAGAATTTGGTAACTGCCGCACTCTGAAAATAGGCATGTTTCTTCCTGTAAAGTTTCGTAATTATGCAAAATGTATCAACCCCCAAACTTGCAACATCTACGCAAATAAGTACGCATCCGAGAAACAAGAATGACCTTACCACTCACGTGACAACTAGCACTATAGAAAACTTCGAGCCTGGGGGAGAACACATTGTTAAACCCCTAAGGGGCAAAAACAACCTGAAAGGGGGTTGTCACTTGTTCCGTGTTTGCCCAACAAACATACACGCAGTCCCCATCAGCGTTTGTCAAATGTTTCTGTGCTAACAACACGCTTTTTTGTTTTTTCTCGAGCGGTATTTGCTTTTGTTTCGTTGAATTTTGATGTTTACTATTTCTACAGGCAGAGATAAGGGTTTAACAACGCATTGTAATCGGTCTGCGACTTAGTTTGTTTTATTGTAACTAGTAGTCGCTGGAGAGCTCATTGTTCATAGCCTCTGAGAATGAAGTAATGAATGGAGTTATATAATGCGTCAGCATGAAGATTTATTAGGTACCTAATATAATAGAAAAATATGACAAGAATGTGACCGTAGATTATTTAAAAGTATTTTTGGTTTGACGTTTTAATAACATGATAATGTACTATCACAATTCACTGTTGTCCGCATACTTTGTGTGTACAGCTGGCGAAACCAAAATGTGAACGCCAAAATTTAGAGGTGTGATTTAGATATTACATCATAGTCGTTCGTTGAATTTAAATTTGATTGCTCTTAAAATTTATTCGCCAAATTTGAAGAAAATTGCTCTTTAACCTTTAACTATGTCTGGCACAATGGCTTTCTATTTAAACTAAAGCTTTTTAATGTGCCTAATGGTCTTATATTTCTTATCAAAAACTCCCTTCAGTACAGAACTCTAAGTGTTAAAATAAACAACCACACATCTCCAAGTTTCATTGCAAATTAAGGTATACTACAAGGGTCACCACTCTCTCCGCTCCTATACAACATTTATTGCTTTACATTTCCCTCAGATCAGTTACACCACAATGCAGTAAAATACACTGAATCAAACCATCACAGCACTACAAAATTAATATAACGAAGTTGCTTAATGACCCAACAAATGAAGATTACAAGTTAACCCACAAAAATGTCAATAATTAATGCCCTATCTTGACCTAAGATCGACATCATCTACATTCATCAAATCTAACCAACTAATCCATATCGTATCCTCAGTGAAATACCTACGCCTTATTATTAATAATAAGCTGAACTTCAATGAACACATTCGCAGACAAAAACATACAAAAAAGAAGATACCGCCGTTGACTGGGATTTTTTAAATTTAATTTAATTATTTAAAATTAATTCTGATGCCTTGGTAGGATTCCCCACTCGACCATTCACTGTTGGGTTATAATTTATAGTGCTGTTCCTAAAGTGGCGCTGGGAAACAGTAACAAAGCCTGCACAGAACACGAGGCTAATGGCCTTAGTAGTCGATGCAGATGACATCAAATTAAAAAAAAAAGGTACCAACACTTACGCGGCCACTAAAATCTATAAAACAATATGCATACCTCTCCTGGAATACGGACACTCTATCTATTTAAACTGCCGAAAACCTGCATAAAAAAATATTCAAGTGGCCGAAACTTCTACACTAAGAATCATTTCCAAGATACGACATGCAGAAAACCCCCACACACCATCAAGCGAATGAATATCTCTACGAAGAAACTAGGCTTCAGCATATCCTTGAAAAAATCAGAAAACTGTCAAAAACATTTTCGAAGAAACAAAACGATCAAATGCTAATATACATTTTTTCGATTCAACGCCAAAGTTTAAATACCTAGTGAGGAGAATAACAGAAATAACAGAAATTAGTGACACATAATTAATTTTTTCATCAAAATATTCCAATTCATCTTACACATATAGCGTGTAAATCCTCACACATGCCATACAAATTGTACTGGTTGAAGGAACTAGCTCGATAGCTATTTGGTTGTAAAATTTATAACCAATAAAGTGCTTTTCTTATTATTATTATTATTTTGTTGTTTAAGGTAGTTCACTCGTAAAACGGCTTTTCTTAAGAATTCAATAAAATTTAAATATAAGGTTTATGAAAGTGTCGTTTACGTAGCCAAAAAAAATTAGATTTTTTGACCGTCTGTGAAACGAGATATTAACAATCAAAATGTGCATAATTAACACTCTTGAAGCCTATCATGTACACAAGCAATGCATTTATTTCAAGATATCTCGAAAACGGTTCTGACCATATTTTTTAAAAACTAATGTTAAATAAATCAAGAAGTTATAAAATTTTATAGATAATCGCTGAATTTTTTGACCGTCTTAGTAAAAAGATATATTTTTAAAATAAAACTATTTTTAAAGCAGTTGAGGAGTAGTTTCGTAAAATTATTACAACTTGGCAACATTGTAGCCACTTCACGTATCAAAGTAACACTCGATCAGCTAAGAGGTTGTTATAAACTCGCGACGTGTTCTTGAAAAAATAATTCGTCCACTGTGTTTGAGAACTGGAATCAGCGGTTTTGTTTGAACCAAAACAAACCCTTAAAATTAGTATGAGGAAGTCACAAATTTCTATACCATATCATTTAAATATTTGCAAGTTTGCTGGATGAAATTGATTAAAATTATAACTTGTCCATATGTGTTTATACAGTGAGCATCATAAGTCTTACTAACTAACTCGTTACTGGGGTCTTGTAAGGAAAATCGCCGAGACAGATCGATTTTTGATTTCTACAATGTACATTTTTGCATAATTAGTTTACCCTTAATTTCATCCCTTACTGGAGGGTAGCAACCCTTTCTAAAAATTTAAATGGCATGGGGTGGTGAGTGATAGCTCATTTGAAAGGGGGTTTTATTCTCTATTCAACCGTGCAAAAAATTTTAAAATTTGCTTCATTACGTGTTGATTTATTAATGTTTAAAAATAACAAAACCTCACAAAATAGGAAAGCAACTGGACTAACAGTGACCTTCTAATGGCAAAAAGTCTTACTTCACGTCTGAACCAAAACCGAAATCATGCAGGGCCGAATTTTAATTCTAAGGATGAGGGCGCTACGTTAATTTCCGTTATTCTGAAACAACAATTAGTCGAGAATTAATGAAGCAAA